AAGGAGGCACGCGAGATAAATAGTCCGAAACGAAGGGCCAACCAGGATTGAGCGGACAAAGTGGCTGCAGCTACGAAGCTCGCGAGGCCTTAGTGTGCGTTGATTCATCATGGGAATAGCGTTATTCCCAACACATAGATAGTAAAATACATAAGAGTAAGGCTATGTGTGAACATTCAAAAAAGTCTGCTACGATAACCAAAATTCTACTCAGGGATTTTGGTTACGAGCAACTACATCAATATGGAGCCTAATTTAGGAAAAAAGTACATTTAAAAAAATAAAAACAGTTAACATACGCCTATAAAGTCAGGTACTGGTACCACTCTCCAGCCCCGCGGGATTAAAATATGATAGGCAAAACTTGTACTAGTGTGGTATTTCGCGGTTATGCCACAGTTCCTGATAGATTTCAACCTAAACATTAATATAAGGTATTGGATCGAATCTAAAAAGGCATGTTCCGATTAATTTACTCCGGGTTTGCGCCTTTATTGCGCCTTTAAAAACATACAACGAATGTTGGGCTCAGGTCTTTAAAGGAAACAAATTATAGTTGGCGTTGCATACCTTAAAACGAGCGTTACCAATTAGAAAAGAAGAGAGTTTTTTAAACTCATTTGTCATATAATAGTGCTGTAAACTGTAATATCAGTGTTTATAGTGCATAGCACCCGCCTCAAACTTACAAACAGATGGTATGCCTACAGAGAAAGACAATTAAATGCGTGCGATTAGTGCGTACTTGCCACTGCTCGTTGAATCCTGCAAAGATTCCAAGAGTAATGGCGAAAAAACTGACTACCATAGCGCTTTAGTTGGTCTTCCGGCTAATCATTGGCGTGTTTGTCTCCTGTAGTGAATACTCTTTCTCATGGTTTGTGGCTATACCGCGACATTTAAATGCGGTGCTGCATTTTGTCCTGCGGTTAGCGCGAGTGAGGTGTATCCCTGCTCTCAATGATGGATCCGGGTATCTGTAACCAAATTTAGTGGACGTATTCACGTTATCGTAAAACGTTGTCTTATGTAGGTTTACGACTTATAATAAGTAATTGCTGGCGTACAAATGGTTTCTGTTAGCAGTGTTTCGATAATATAGCCTTAAGTGAGTAATTTG